AGTTACTCGACCTCTCTTGCGTCGTGTCTGTTCGCTCCCCGCGCCTCGTAGCAGTGTTGTTGCAGTGGGGGGGCTCGTTAAAATTTTGGGGTTTTTTGGACTATCTAAATCACTTTCTTCCTTCCCATCCCCCCCTTTTCTACTCCGCATGCTTCCCCCTCTGCAAATATCAGCTGACCTTCCGACCTCTGTTCTCTGTTGATAGGCAAAACAACCACTAAAATTAGAAAGTAATTTGTAATTTGAGTGGAAGTCACTCGGAAAAGTAGTTAAAGTAAACTACTGATTACTAGAATAGAAATGTAATTAAAAGTTACTAAACTACCCAGAAAAGTAGTTAAACTACAGTAACTTGAGTAAAGTAGTTGAACTACGTACAAGTCTGGCCTGGCAAGCGCTCTGCGTAAGTGTTTTCACTGATCTGCCTAGCCCCGCACACCATCACATGGGCCAAGAAAGGTGTAGTTTTACTGCAGAGGAGAAATCAGCAGGGTCCAAGATGGTGACAATGGAGGATGGGGGACTGTTCCAGTGGCTGATGGCTTGAGAAAGGAATGACCAATTGAAAGCGTTCGTAGAGCCAGAAGTGTGTTTGATGGTGCAGACGTTGTTGAGGCGAGAAGATGTTCGGTCGAGGGGTAATAACAAAGTGGTTTTGAGGTCGGGAATGTGGTAGTAGATTTTGTGAATAAGGCACATCTGAGAGACTTTCCTGCGAAGCTGCAAAGAGGACATGGTTAGTTCAGTTTTTAGCGCCGAGACACTGAAAGAAAAGTCATAAGTGGATGAAATGAAGCGAGCAGCTCTGTTCTGATCTGCCTCTACAGCGTATTGATGAGGTACAGTCGATGGGTATTCCAGCTGGTTGAAGCATATTCTATTTTTGGTCTGACGTACGTGTTAAAGGTTAGCTTAGGGACAAAGGGTGGAGCGAATTTTTAAGTTACGTCTGCTTAGTCCAAGAGTTCCAGATGAATCGGCGGTAATGACTTCAATGTGGTTATTCCAGGGGAGGTCAGATGTTAGTCTTACACCAAGGTATTTATACACAGTAGCGGTCTCAATCAGATCGGAGTCCAAGAAGTAATTAAATGACAGAGTGGTTTTTTCTTGGTGAAGTGGATTAGTTTGCGTTTATACTTGTTTGGTGACATAATCCACTCTTTGCACCAATTGTTAATTTTATCTAGATCTTCCTGAAGCTGGTTATTATTTTGCACACAAGTTACTTTGTTATGGATGACGCAGTCGTCGGCGAAAAAGCGTTTTTTTGAAGAAATGCCAATGGGAATGTCATTAATAAATATTAAAAAGAGTAAGGGCCCAAGTACGAACCCCAGGGGAACACCAAGAGATACATTTATTAAGGAAGATTCATGATCATCATGGACGTGACCTGTACACGGGAAAAAAGAAAGTCACGAATCCATGCAAACGGTTATTGGTCGAGGCAAAAAGATGATAGCTTAGAAAGAAGGCGTTGATGGAGGACACGGCCGAACGCTTTGGAAAAAAAAAAAAAAACTGCGTCAGTTTGGACGTGACATTCAAGGTTAGTGTGCAAGTCATGGATGAAGTCGCAGAGTTGCGTATCGCAGGAAAGTACCTTTTGAAAACCCTGCTGCTGTTTAAAGAAAAGAAATGGGATGATAGGTGCCTCATGATATTGGAGTAGAGAATATGCTCAAGTAGTTTGCAAGAAATTGAAGTCAATGAATTAGGGCGATAATTAGATGCGGAAGAGCGGCTGCCCTGTTTAAAGACTGGGAATTACCCTTCCCACCTTTTGGTCAGATGGAAGGCAGCTTTGAGATGAGGACTGAATGAAGATGAGTTTCAAATACTCACTAGAAATAACACGGGTGTTTCTTTTAAATTTTAGGGTTGATGTTATCGGTTCCAGCGGACGAAGTAAGTTTTAGTTTATCAATCAATGTTTTAATACCAGCGGAGTTAACGTTAATAGGATGCATGCGCTCGTAAAGCTCTTCAGGGAGAGTGAGGACGAAGTCCAAGCACTCGTTAGTAAACACTGATGAAAAGTATTCGTTAAACACAGAACTATCATGCTCGACGTTGCACATCCGACATTCCTAACTCTCCCCATCTTCCTAAACGTCCGTGTGTGTCCTAACACCAGAAACCGGAATTTTAAAGGTTAAAAACGGCACGTTGCGAATATGGAACGCGCACTTTCATGCAAAGCTGACGTCAAGTGACTCAAATCGAAAAACATGCATATTTACAGTATTGTTATCTCTTCTGGTGAAGGCTAAACAACCGTTGCATCCGTTTTCGCGCACGAAACGGTGACTCCCAGAGAAAGTAAGAACGCAGTGATTGTCTTTATTTTAACAATGTAAACACACTTGCAGGCGTGCGCTGATGAAGCCTCAAAATCAAAACTCTCGTAGTGTGATTCGTGACTGCTCCGGCTACTACCCAACCTCGTTGTCACGCCACTTTCTGCAAGCAAACACTAAAATTGCCAGTAAACACACAAAAGCGACATCGATACAATTATCTTGTAGAATATCACCTTATTTAATCATAACTGTTTCAATAGGCACTACAAGTTGTATTTATTTTAAGAAGAAGAAGCAAATTTTTTTTCGTGAGAAAAAACAAAATATCAATGTTAAGTCTGGTAACGTTGTAATTTTGCCGAATCATTGCCACATCTTTAGAAAACTTCGACAAAAGTTGCGCCGAATTTTCGATTAAGGGGGGGGGGGGGGAAGAGGGTCGGGTTTGCCCCCCCACTCAAAAACAAGTTGGTACGCCACTGCCTCGTGCTTTACGTTGTCGAAGGCTTTCGTCAGGTCTAGCCCTAGGATCACCTTCGCATCCTTAGACCGCGAGTCGACAATGTCGTGTTTAATCTGAAGCATGATATCCTGCGTGCACAGATGAGGGCGGAGCCCGATCATTGTGTGCGGCAAGAGGTCCTGCTTTTCCAGGTATTCGATTAATCTCGTCTGGATGACGTGCTCCATTAGCTTTCCTATGCACGAGGTAAGCGATATGGGCCTGAGATTCCCGAGCTGCGGAGGCTTGCCCGGCTTGGGTATTAAGGTGACGTTTGCCGTTTTCCATTGCTGCGGCAGCTCGCCTTTGTCCCAACATTCTTGCATATACTCCGTTAGGTAACCTATCGAGGTATCATCCAAGTCCCTGAGCATTTTATTTGTAATCCCGTCAGGACCCGGGGCAGACTTTGTGCGGAGCCTAACTAATTCCGCCCTAACTTCCGCTTCAGTGATGGGGGCATCAAGCGCCTCGTTGTGCGCACCATCATAGTCTGGAAGGGGAGTTTGATGGGTCTCACCTACGTAGTTTTCTATTAGTTTCTGCATGAAATCGTCGTCGCCGCCATCAAAAGCCTGTCGAGCTTTGACGAGTCTGATTCCCGATTGGGTTTTCGAATTTTCCGGGTCGAGCAAATGGCGGAGCATACCCCAAGTTCTAGCGAGGTTCATCTCGCCTTCCATCTGGTCGCATTTGTTGCCCCAATTTTGTTCACATAATTTAAAGGAGTAATCTTCAATTTCCTTGTTGTGTCGCGCTAACCTTCTCCGGAGGGTGCGGTTCCATTTTTGTGTCCTTAGACGTCTTTCCATGCTTTGCTTAGCCTCCCACATATGCAGGAGGCGGCTATCGGCAATCTCGGGGGCGTCTTCACCTTCTAAGGTTTTGGTAACCTCCCCGACGTTCGGTTTTAGCTGTTCCGCCCATTCCCCTATGTCGCAAATGGGCTTCCCTTCCTGGTTGGATCTGATTGTTCTAAACTGGTCCCATTCGACGGTGGCTGGCGCGCGTGCCCTGCGCGTTTTAAGGCCTTCTTTGAGGAGGGATACCAGTATGTAGTGGTCGCTCCCAAAATTTAGCTCTGAATTGTGCCATTCGAGGCCGCGGACGTTCTTGGAGAGGGTGAGATCTGGAGACGTATCAACACTAACGCTGTTCCCCACTCGCGTGGGGCTATCAGGGTCAGTGTGTAACGAAAGCCCCTGGTCTTGCATGTCCTCCCACAATTGTCTACCTTTTGGGCACTGATGAGAGTACCCCCAGGCCTGATGATGCGCGTTGAAATCCCCCACAACCACTAGAGGCCGGTTTCCGCTAATCTTGAGAGTTTTGCGGAGCAGGGCTCTGAACCTAACCTTTCTTTGTTTAGGCGAGCTGTATATATTCAACAAAAAGAGGTTGGGTTCCGTTTTTTTGCCCGTTAAAATTTCGACGAAGACGTTCTCGATCTCCCGCAACTCGAGCTCGTGTTCTATCACCGCGATGTTTCGTTTCACAAGTGTCGTGACCGTCGATTTCTCGCCCCGGTCACTATGAAACGCCTGATATCCTGACATTTTCGCGGGTCCCCCCGTCTCCTGAAGCGCAATCGCGAGTGGCGTGATGGTCAGTAGCGGAAGATATCGCTGCAGAATCGGCCGCTTACGGCGGAAGCCACGACAGTTCCACTGCCAAATTTGGTTCTCAGCACGACTGGCTATTTTGCAATTTTGAAACAACGTGCTCGATATTTTGCTGCCAAATATTATTGGCAACCAACTCGGTACGCAATGTCTGAGACTCTTCAGCTTGTTTCTGAATAGCCTCTGCCTGCTTCTGGATAGCGCCCAGAATGGCCTGAACTTGGGTATTCATGTTAATAATGAACTCGTCTAATGTGTTTTCCAGTTTCGTCATTCTACCTTCCAACGTCGGACCAGGGTCCGCGTCCTTAAATTTGCGCTTCAGCGGGGGTGGGAGGGTCGGCTCGGTAACCATTTTGTCCTCGCTTGATGGCGGCTCCGGGGCCACGGGCCGTGGCTGAGGCGGGGGAGGGGTCGGTGGCCCCTGTTTTTTTTTTTAAATTTTGAATCTCTACCTTTTGAGATTCCACAATAACGCTTAATTTTTCAACCATTTTTTTTAACTGATCAATCTCGTCAGCTCTTTTATATTCCTTAGCCTGGGTGACCGCCTTTGCGAAGCTTACGCCCTTACGCTCCTGGCTCCAACCTCGTTTTCGTGGGTTGGCCAGGCCTCTGGAGCTGGAACGCCCCCTGGACTGGCTTCTTCCCCTGGAGTTGGCCCGGGAGCCGGATCGGCCTCTGGGTTCCACCGGATTCCTTGTATCCAATCTTGGGAAGGACTCGTCTCGGACCTTGTAGCCCTTCTCGGGCTTCGGCTCTCTCGGTCGGCTCTGGCGTTCCGATGAGTCGGTCTGACGTTGTTTTTGCTCCCACTGCTTCTTCTTGACGACGTAGGGTGTCCGGAAAATCTCCCGGCATTTCTTGTCGCCCAGTATATGCCCTTTGCCGCACAGTTGACACTTGGGCTCACAGCTGTGGTCCTTCGGTGGCCTTTCGAGACCGCACCCGCGGCACCTGACGTTCTTCGGGTCGGGGCAGACGTCGTCCCGATGGCCCAGGCGTCCGCAGGCGGTGCAGATCTCAAATTTCTTCTTATAAAGTTGGCATCTCAATGGGACGCCTCCAAAAAGGATCCATCTTGGTACCGTGTTCTCTTCGAACAGTAGCATCACGGCCTTCGACTCCTTGCCCAATCTTCTGACTCCCAGAATCTTAGGGTTGTCGCGGCGGTCGAGTCTGGTCTTGATGTCTTCTATCGTGTAGAAGAGTGGGATGTCGTATATCACCCCCTTGCCACAATCCTCCGGGGTGGCCACGTAGGCAGAGGTTTCGACACACTCCCCGTCGAGCATTATCTGCTTGATGCAGGCGTACTTTAGCTTTCGCTTCTCGCACGTGGTCCCGACGAGAATGGACTGTTGTTTCAAGTTCGGCGAGAATATATCGTCGCCCTCTTCCTTGGGATCGATCCCGGCTGCGGCTTTGATGACGTCGCCCAGGTGGGCCGTCCCATATTGGATTAGCTTCGTCAGGCCTCCGCGCGGCCTGAGCACGACCTTCGCCGCCTCCGTCGGTATGCGCATCTGCCTGCGCTCTATGGACTTCAGCGCCATCTTTCTACCCATTGCCTTTGTCGGGGCGCGGCTTTGGTCACTTTCCCGCGTAATACTTTCCAACGGGACAATCTTCGATTTTCGGCTGGTAAACCATTGGTTTGGCACTTCCAGCTCCTCGGGTCGGATGAGCTCACCCTCAACAGTGACCTCCATGTTTAAATTCTTCGACGGCGAGCGCCGATTGACCCCGGGTAGGGCCGCCGCGGACTCAGTCGACTCAGTAGGCTTTGCGCGGTAAGGCGCCCGTTAGGCTTAGATGCTCCACATGCGATGCGGATCTCGAAAAGCTGAAAAATGGCGAAGAAAAGGTCCACTTGCCCAATATTTTGTGCCTCCGTGGTCCTTGCGTACTCCACCGCTCGATTCACCGAAAATCTGGGGTGAAAACTTCGAAAAGCTACGGAAATCGACGAAAAATCGCAGAGCCCGTGTGAAATGCATCCACTCACTCGTACTTCGTCGTCGTCTCTCTCGGGAGGCGAACAAAACAAGCGCCCCTCCCTTTGTCCTCGTCTTTGTTAGCGCTTTCAAATTTATGAGTCATGAACCAACTCCCCCGCTTCGCCACTTTAGTTCTATCATATACCGCTATAACAGTACAAAAATTTCCATATGACGTGTAAACTACAGGTTCCTCAGTCGAATAACCTTTTCAGTGAACTGCCGTAACGTTTTGTATCCACATTAATCAAAGTGTAGAGTTTATTCTTGAGCATGGAAGGCTCGTTAATAATTTTATAAATTAATTAGAAACCCTCCCCAGTATTATGGCAAATTCTGTAGTGTCCAATATGTGCACTACAAATGTAGAAAAATATATGCCGGATGCACCTTACTTAAATTTGTGAGAAACAGCGAAGTCAAATCAGGACACTTTAACGATACAACAAAGTAGAATATTCGCCATACCACACCAGTAAACTAGAATAATTGATAATATGCTAACTATATATTTTTTTTTTTCAAAAAGTTTTCGGTGGGTTCCAGAGGCCAATATGTCAAATAAGGAGGATTCGAATTCTCGTTTACACGTTTACAATCATTGCCAATATCGTGCTGCTCTCATCAATAAACTAGCAAACAAAAACAGCTGTTTTATTGTACGCTACTATAAAATTATAAAAAGCTTTTCAAAATATTCGCGCTAATTAATAATGTTATGTAATTATAACGAAGTGATTTTTATTGTAAGGTGTATGAGCACTGCGATGAGTACTCAATTTATGACAGGATCATTACTCTTATGAAATTAACATTCACACTCCGAACGTAATAATTAATCACGCTCGAAATCTTTACATAAAATTATTCCAATCCCCCTAAACCCGAAAAACCAAAGGTAAAAAAAAAAAAAAAAAATCGGGAGATGAGCGTATTGAAATATCCGAATCGATATCACATTACTCCAAAAGGGCGGAAGCCCGAGATTTTGAAATGGGACCGGCTTGTGGTCGGCGTTCCAAAATTGTATATATCGTCGCCAGTTGAGAACTCGTTCGACCTCAAAACGTCCCCAGACCAGGCGCGGGTTCCCAAATTTAAAATGACAAACAAATGCCTAAAAACCGTCGAACCATGTCCCACTTCAAGACAAGCTGCCTCAAAGATAGCTGATTTTAGAGGTTTTGCTATAGTAACAGCTTGTAGTTGATGGTTTTAAATTTTGAATTTCGTGACCACTTCTGCTCTCGGTCGACCTCAGAAGGATCCTGGATGAGGCGCGCGTGCCAGAATTTCAAAAGATGAACGAACGCGTATAAATGGCCAAACCATCCCCACTTTGAAACCGTTTTTTCGTCTTCTAAAAGGAGTTACATTGAGGAAATTGTCATAACACCAGGACGTCCTGGTGGGATTTATATTTTACATTCTGCCTTTAGTTGAGAGCGGCGTTGTCTTCATAAAGTTCTCTGGCGTGGCGGGGGTGCCCGAATATCGAAAGATGAAGGAATGCGTAGAAGCTGCAGAACCATGCCCAATTTGAGAACGCGGTATTCTCAAAGGAATCACTTTGGGGTATTTGCCATAGTACCAGGATAGACTCGAGGAATCTACATTTTATATTCGACCTTTTGTTTTGAACTGGATTGCTCTAAGAAAAACTCCATGGCGAGGCGCGTGCGTCCAAATTTCAAAAGATGAAGGAATGCTTAGAAACGGCAGAACCATGCCCTATTTGAGACCGCGGTCTTCTCAAAGGAATTACTTTGGGGTATTTGCCATAGTGCCAGGGTAGACTCGAGGGATCTGCATTTTATATTTCACCTTTTGTTTTGAACTGGATTGTTCTAAAAAAACTCCATGGCGAGGCGCGTGCGTCCAAATTTCAAAAGATGAAGGAATGCGTAGAAACTGCAGAACCATGCCCAATTTGAGACCGCGGTCTTCTCAAAGGAATTACTTTGGGGTATTTGCCATAGTGCCAGGGTAGACTCGAGGGATCTACATTTTATATTCCACCTTTTGTTTTGAACTGGATTGTTCTAAAAAAACTCCATGGCGAGGCGCGTGCGTCCAAATTTCAAAAGATGAAGGAATGCGTAGAAACGGCAGAACCATGCCCAATTTGAGACCGCGGTCTTCTCAATGGAATCACTTTGGGGTATTTGCCATAGTGCCAAGATAGACTCGAGCGATCTACATTTTATATTGCACCTTTTGTTTTGAACTGGATTGTTCTAAAAAAACTCCATGGCGAGGCGCGTGCGTCCAAATTTCAAAAGATGAAGGAATGCGTAGAAACGGCAGAACCATGCCCAATTTGAGACCGCGGTCTTCTCAATGGAATCACTTTGGGGTATTTGCCATAGTACCAGGATAGACTCGAGGAATCTACATTTTATATTCGACCTTTTGTTTTGAACTGGATTGTTCTAAGAAAAACTCCATGGCGAGGCGCGTGCGTCCAAATTTCAAAAGATGAAGGAATGCTTAGAAACGGCAGAACCATGCCCTATTTGAGACCGCGGTCTTCTCAAAGGAATTACTTTGGGGTATTTGCCATAGTACCAGGATAGACTCGAGCGATCTACATTTTATATTGCACCTTTTGTTTTGAACTGGATTGTTCTAAAAAAACTCCATGGCGAGGCGCGTGCGTCCAAATTTCAAAAGATGAAGGAATGCGTAGAAACGGCAGAACCATGCCCAATTTGAGACCGCGGTCTTCTCAATGTAATCACTTTGGGGTATTTGCCATAGTGCCAGGGTAGACTCGAGGGATCTACATTTTATATTACACCTTTTGTTTTGAACTGGATTGTTCTAAAAAAACTCCATGGCGAGGCGCGTGCGTCCAAATTTCAAAAGATGAAGGAATGCGTAGAAACGGCAGAACCATGCCCTATTTGAGACCGCGGTCTTCTCAAAGGAATCACTTTGGGGTATTTGCCATAGTGCCAGGGTAGACTCGAGGGATCTACATTTTATATTCCACCTTTTGTTTTGAACTGGATTGTTCTAAAAAAACTCCATGGCGAGGCGCGTGCGTCCAAATTTCAAAAGATGAAGGAATGCGTAGAAACGGCAGAACCATGCCCAATTTGAGACCGCGGTCTTCTCAATGTAATCACTTTGGGGTATTTGCCATAGTGCCAGGGTAGACTCGAGGGATCTACATTTTATATTACACCTTTTGTTTTGAACTGGATTGTTCTAAAAAAACTCCATGGCGAGGCGCGTGCGTCCAAATTTCAAAAGATGAAGGAATGCGTAGAAACGGCAGAACCATGCCCTATTTGAGACCGCGGTCTTCTCAAAGGAATCACTTTGGGGTATTTGCCATAGTGCCAGGGTAGACTCGAGGGATCTACATTTTATATTCCACCTTTTGTTTTGAACTGGATTGTTCTAAAAAAACTCCATGGCGAGGCGCGTGCGTCCAAATTTCAAAAGATGAAGGAATGCTTAGAAACGGCAGAACCATGCCCAATTTGAGACCGCGGTCTTCTCAATGGAATCACTTTGGGGTATTTGCCATAGTGCCAAGATAGACTCGAGCGATCTACATTTTATATTGCACCTTTTGTTTTGAACTGGATTGTTCTAAAAAAACTCCATGGCGAGGCGCGTGCGTCCAAATTTCAAAAGATGAAGGAATGCGTAGAAACTGCAGAACCATGCCCAATTTGAGAACGCGGTATTCTCAAAGGAATCACTTTGGGGTATTTGCCATAGTACCAGGATAGACTCGAGGAATCTACATTTTATATTCGACCTTTTGTTTTGAACTGGATTGTTCTAAGAAAAACTCCATGGCGAGGCGCGTGCGTCCAAATTTCAAAAGATGAAGGAATGCTTAGAAACGGCAGAACCATGCCCTATTTGAGACCGCGGTCTTCTCAAAGGAATTACTTTGGGGTATTTGCCATAGTGCCAGGGTAGACTCGAGGGATCTACATTTTATATTTCACCTTTTGTTTTGAACTGGATTGTTCTAAAAAAACTCCATGGCGAGGCGCGTGCGTCCAAATTTCAAAAGATGAAGGAATGCGTAGAAACTGCAGAACCATGCCCAATTTGAGACCGCGGTCTTCTCAAAGGAATTACTTTGGGGTATTTGCCATAGTGCCAGGGTAGACTCGAGGGATCTACATTTTATATTCCACCTTTTGTTTTGAACTGGATTGTTCTAAAAAAACTCCATGGCGAGGCGCGTGCGTCCAAATTTCAAAAGATGAAGGAATGCGTAGAAACGGCAGAACCATGCCCAATTTGAGACCGCGGTCTTCTCAATGGAATCACTTTGGGGTATTTGCCATAGTGCCAAGATAGACTCGAGCGATCTACATTTTATATTGCACCTTTTGTTTTGAACTGGATTGTTGCCAAAAAAACTCCATGGCGAGGCGCGTGCATCCAAATTTCAAAAGATGAAGGAATGCGTAGAAACGGCAGAACCACGCCCAGTTTGAGACGGCGGTCTTCTAAAAAAAAATCACTTTGGGGTATTTGCCATAGTACCAGGATAGACTCGAGGAATCTACATTTTATATTCCACCTTTTGTTTTGAACTGGATTGTTCTAAGAAAAACTCCATGGCGAGGCGCGTGCGTCCAAATTTCAAAAGATGAAGGAATGCGTAGAAACGCCACAGCCATGCCCAACTTGAGACCGCGGTCTTCTGAAAGAATCACTTTGGGGTATTTGCCATAGTGCCAGGATAGACTCGAGCGATCTACATTTTATATTCCACCTTTTGTTTTGAACTGGATTGTTCTAAAAAAAAGAAAACTCCATGGCGAGGCGCGTGCGTCCAAATTTCAAAAGATGAAGGAATGCGTAGAAACGACAGAACCATGCCCAATTTGAGACCGCGGTATTCTCAAAGGAATCACTTTGGGGTATTTTCCATAGTACCAGGATAGACTCGATGGATCTACATTTTGTATTCCACATTGTTTAGGAGTCTTGCTTGCTTGAGATAGCCTCGCACAGCATCAGTATACGTTCGGGTGTAT